TGTTGTAACCCTGCCATGCGCCTTCACTTTGTTGGATGGAATATTTTCTTTTATTCCAAGAGTTTCACCATAGGTGCATCTGATGTCCTGAAAGGAAGAAACTGCTGGTCAAACTTGAATCTGTATTTATGAAGTTTTGGGGCAGGGAATTTCTGTTGATGGTGATTTGGGTTTTTAAGCAAGTGGTGCTAGTGAAGGGGTATACGTGTGAGCCTTTGTATAAAGCTGTGTGATTTATTTTTTCAGTTCATTAGCCATACTGAAAAATATGGATCCAAAATGATTGTTCGTACATTTTAACAACTGAAAAGTTGGAAAAATTGTTTGGAGTCAAACAAAACGTTCTGAGAATGCTGCCGAAGGTACGACACAGCCTCTCAGCACCTGAATGAGGCTCAAGTTCAGCAGTGGCTACAGTACAACACCTTCAGCTACCTATTTACTCAGAAGTCAGCATGCCTGAAAATACTGGCTTGTCACAGAGGACCAGACCTGGTGCATAAACGAAATTACTTTCTCTGGCTCTGGCTCTTCAATTTGACTTGATCCATATTGTTGAGCCGACTGTTACCTTGAATAATTTTTATAATATTGCTTCTCCCGAGGCACCATGGGCACTGGACGCCAATTGAGATAAAACTTTAACCGGCAATATCATTTTGGGAGGAGCAGAATTATCGTTTGAGCGCCACGTGTTTGCAAACTGTAATAACTGAAAAAGGTTGATGCCATATTTTTGTTAAAGAGGAGTTGTTTCTCTGGAACTCCATGCCCAAATGACCCCAAACTTTGAACACTAGCCCCACCCAAAATCCTGATGAAGCATAGTGAATGCCAAAGCAATCTGGGTATGCATGTGGATTTTAGAGCACTTTAAAAACTGTCTGTTAGTAAACAGTCTCACTCGTAATTTATGGGGTGCTACTACCCTGGTTTAAATACATAAGACATGCCGCCCTGGTATATGTACCCTATGTATTAATTCAAAACAAAAAGGATTTAGAACAACAAATTATCACAGTAAGAATGAACATAAGCTAAGTTGTATCATTTAGGATAAAACTGCTATGCATGGGGAACTTTACAGAGTTCCCGCAAAGGCCATTTGTGGAGGGAGGCATGTTTCAACCCCAGACTCACAGGTGTACAGAGAGACCTTGTAGGTAGCTATCTCCCTTTAGGGTGGTGCTAACTTGAAGCTTTTTAATATAATGTCTTAGCCTTAGACCATTGACTATAATACAGTGAATAAATACGCATTTTAAATTGGCGCAGCTCTAAAAAAAATCAAATTCAGATTAAAAACCCAAGATTAACACTTTTTAAAAATCAGTCACACCTTTAAAATCACCAGCTCCAAAATAATTTACAAAAGTAAGTTTTAAAGTACTATTAGGAGTTCCTTATTTCATTGAGGTCAAAAGTAGCCTTTCATGGACATACTTTCATCTTATTTTTATAGTCAGCCAGGCAAATCCGGCAAGAGCCTGTATAACTGAAATATTTTGCACTGAGTAGGAAACATTGTAATATCTGATGTGATGTCATAGAAAGCATCACGGCCAGGAATGGAAATAGCCATTTGAGTCTCCAGTAGCAGTAGAGGTTACAAGTCAAGAAACACTGATACGTCTTCAACTTGGCCAGCCCCACATGCCAACATACTTCCCTTTCACATAAGCTATCTGCATAATTTGGAAACAGAAAACTGTAAGGGCCCTCTTTATCTTATTGCTGTTCCAAATACGTAAATATTCTTCATAACTCTAGCTATTCATTAAAAGATAATGCCAAATAGACATTATTTGTTTTGTAAAAAATTAGCATCTCCAGTTGTTGGCGTATGTCTTCTTATCTGAGCTTACTTGAGGTTTTCATGCTTTTACTTATAATCCTAAACAAGTCAGGTTCAGAAAAGCCCAAACAAAAAATTAAGGAACAGTAAATTTTCAAAAGCCAACGGAACTTTAGAGAATGTGTCCCGGTGAACTGTTCCTCCAGAGACAGAGCTTTGAGAGCAGCTGTTGTTGATTCACATTCCCCTACCTCTGTGCTGAGTAAGGCAGCTGCAATGTTACTTGGCAAGCAAAACATTCTCCTTACAAATTTGTTTTGCATAACCTTTAACTTACTAAGATTCTTTCAGGTCAAATTTCCTCATGATGGTATGTGCAAGATTCTGCAGTTCAGTGCGAGTTCATGGTCTGGGCCCTGCCTCTTTTCTGCCTTCCCATTCTCCCTTTGGGATGCTGCATCTCTTTGGGAGCACAAAAAAGGAGTCCTGATCCCCACCAATGGCAGGAACTGTGAGTATGTGAGAGTGAGAAGGTCCCAACTGCCCTCCCCCTGTTGTGTAACCACACAAGGGCCATGGGCCATCAAGCCCTGAGAATTATGTTGATTAATGCTGAGTAATTAGAAAACAAGTAGTCCTGTAGCACCTTAAATACTAACAAATATATAGAATCATGAGCTTTCATGGGCAAACCCCCCTTTCTCAGATGAGCAGAGTGGTGGTTACACTGAGTTATGTGGACTATTTGTCCATAGAAAAAGGGGCAACATTTGTCTATTGACCAGTTGTGAAATGTTTGCCTCTCTGTAATGTGCGGCATGACCATGCGCTCTGCATTTGTATGTTACAAGGCTAAACACAGGCTCAGTGGATGAACATTCATACTTCCTTGTTTTGTGAGGGGCATTGCAAGACCCATTCCCCAGTCAGTTTGTTCCGTCACTGCTACATATCCTTTTTCCTAACCTCTGCTTAAAGGTGACTTGCAAAGCAAAAATTTAACCAAGTTAAACTCAGATTTAAGTCCCAAATGGAGCGGAATTGTAGGGTTGCAGCAAAGAAATAAGTTTAAGCTAAACTTTTCAAATTCATTTCTCCTTGCACGCATCATCAAAATCCTACTAGTTCTTGGTTTAATGACTATCTCATATATCTCAAACTGCATTATTATCTGACATCATTACAACCATGACTAGCATTGATTGCAGACAGACTTTCATATATGTTGATGTCACATTTTGGGACATATGTACAGTGACTCAGGAACTGCTAAGAGAACCTTTTAGAAGCCAGAGAAAAGATATTGAAATGGTTAAACTTACTTCCTTACAGACTGCTCCCTACAGCCTGGTTATCTGGGACATTCAGCAAGTCAGTCTCTGTTAACTAAGTGTTCATTTTTGCTTTGCCATTCATTTTAAAGCATCCCTAAGTTTTGCACAGGTCAGTGCTCCATGGGGCAGAGGCTCCTGTACCTAGGGTTACTGACATAGTGGCACAACAGCACCAACACGGGACCCTCCTTTCAACTGGAGATTGATGTTGAAATTTGCTGCTATATTTCAGTAATTACATTTCACCAGATTGTGCAACACAAATCACTTCTCTAATTTATATTAGAGCAACATAGTTACCCACATCTCCCCAGCTTGATAAAATGTCACCACAGCCAGGACTTAAATTCTCATAAACTATTTCCCAAAGCTCCCTATCATTCCCCTTAGCACTTTGCGGCTGAGACTTCAGCCCCGAGGGGCATATCAGAGCTTGGGGCTTCAGCCATGTGGGCTGAATTTAAACCTTGATCACAGCAAAAGATGGTCTGTTGCTGTTCTCTCATAAAAAGAAGACTCATTAGAAGAATGTGAGCAGGGCTCTGCCTGGGTTCCAACTCCTCTCTTGAGCTATCTACATGCTTTCCTAGGGCTACAGGGGGCTGGAAGGAGGAGACATTCTTCTGGGATTCTGTTGCCAAACAAATGTAGAATATAGGAAGTGGGTTTTTTTTTTTAGAATGTTAAAGTGGTAACTAATTTTTTCAGTTATGTGAGTAGAAGAAAAGCAGAATAGAAGGGCTATTTCTGTTACATAATGGAATTCAAATTATGGGATACGAAAATTAACACTATATTTCAGAAAATGTGTCTGCAACAGTAGAAGAGACTTGATGTGACCATGTGTCATGATGTAATCAAAGTACCCCACCACACCCAGGCACACTTTAAAACTTGCTGTTGCATATTTACAGCATTATTAAGCTGCTCCGCCCTCCATCTGGTTTACCCATCCCATCTCAAATCCCCAAGAGATTTACATAAACTAGCTTGTTTCCTTCAGGTTCCTCCTTACAGTTGAGAGCTTGCTAAGACCTAGATGTGGACTGCTGGCCTTTAGGATGCTTAACAAAGATGCATAATCAAGGCTGCTGCACAAAGCTGTTAAAATAGGAAGCTGAAACCGATGAGCTAGAGTTCTTTAACATACAGTATATATAGCTTTCCATAACCACAGTTGCAAATTAGCATTTATTTTGTACAAATGCAGCCACTGGGAGATGTGAGGATGTTTTCCCCTCCCCCAGGTTTTATTGGTTTCCCACCATTTCAACTTGCCTCCTCCCCCTACGTTCTGATGTAACATTACAGTAAGAATGCACATGCATATGAGGAACAGAAAGAAATATGGGTCTTGAATGAGTGATCTCCTATGCTAAAAATGTGGTAACCAAAATTATCCTCCTGATGCCCAAGTCAATTGTGTCGCAGTCAGTATCTCAGTGTATCACTGTGGTCTTTTGCCTCTTCTAGCCCTGAATGCCTATTATAGGCAATACGCAAGTGGCTTCAGAGGGCCTGGTTGTTTATTCTCACAGGTGACATATGAATACATTTTCACTGCGCGGGTGGGGTTAGCCAACAGCACACTTTAATGTTGTCAGGGATCATTCAGCTAACTTCAGTTCAACCCCTGACAGGCTTGGTGATGTAGCACACTTATTCCTGCACTGGTGAGAATACTAGAGCTTTCAGAATGTCTGTCCTCTTCATGAGAGGTCTTAGCAAGCCAGCAAAGAGAGAGAGAACTCAAGAAGACTTTCATCCTAACATCAGTTAGTGGTAAACATTTCAGCCCTCAGGACTGTGAGAGATTGAAATAAAAGTGAGGAAGGAAAGGAGTGTGGGGATGGGAACATTTTGATACATACGCCTGTTGTTGACTGTTTGTCTCTGCTTGTAAATGAGGATCAGTATGAGGGGTAAGCAGAGAATGCCCACAATGCATGCCCCTGTTGCCAGTGCAGCTGCTGTGAAATCTGCAACAGAACAGGTAAATTAGAGATGAAACAACCAGCAAAAGCCGTTTCAAACTGCACACTTACAGTCAGGACCTCTTTTGAATGAGCAGTTAACTAATGTTCATTCTCAGGAACCTCTCCTCTGTTGAGGCATTCAAGATAAAAAGCAAAAGGTTCTCTGGATTCAGGCCTCCTTTCATACATGAAGTACAAAGCTAGAATGAAAAACAAGTGTGTGCAAAACATTGCACTGAATAACCACTGGACAGGCCAATGATGGAATTCAACACTGAAATAAGACTTCATTTACCATTCCTGTCTGTGAATCCTCCAGAACTTGCTGGATTTCTCAAGATACCCTGGAAGCATTCTGTAATAGTGATGTTCCCAGAAGTCTCATGCAATCATGCTACCCTTATTCCTATAATACCTAGGTAACCGATCAAACTTCTCAGAGCAGGAGGCTTGACGTTGCTTTGGAAGAGGAGCGAGTGGCATTTTATTTCTTCTGTCTATAGAAGTGAGGTGGGATTAAGCCTTAAAGTTTAGTTCCCAAGCCAAACTTTTCCGAGTTCTGGAGATACTCAGATACATGGGCTCTGTTCAGTCCCAGTTATATTACAGGAACATGTAGAAAATGACTTAAGTGATAATATGCCTGATCCGAAGTCTTTTGAATCCTGTGGAAAGAGTCCCACTGACATCAATGAGCATTAGGGTCAGACCCCTAGTCAGCTAATAAAAATTAGTCGCTCTTTAAGGCTACGTCTATACTGTACCCGTTTTGCGCAAGAAATATGCTAATGAGGCTAAGCGTGGAATATTGCTGAGTCTCATTTGCATAATTAACGAGCGCCCACTTTTTGCGCAAGAAGATTTTGTGCAAAAAGTAGCCATCTACACAGCTCCTTTTTGCGCAAAAAACCCTCTTGGGCAAGAGCTGTTTTTCTGGAAGAAAATGTGGAAGAACGGCTCTTCCGCAAGAAGGCCTCTTGCACAAAAAGTGGGTGCTCAATAATTATGCAAGGGCCTCTTGCGCAAAAAGTGGGTGCTCAATAATTATGCAAATGAGGCTCTGCAATATTCCACGCTTGGCCTCATTTGCATATTTCTTGCACAAAACGGGTGCAGTATAGATATAGCCATGGTTGCATTTTGTAGACAAAATTCTAAGCCCACAAATAACTACATCAACAATGAATTCTGAGCACAGATAATCAGACAGCTACTTACAAAGCTGTAGTTGCAAATCAGATAGACATACAAATATTTGCATGTGGGATCAAAATTGTGGTACAAGTTGTACTTTAACTGCCACTCCCTGGTCTGCCAACATCCATGGTCAGATGTTCCTGGACCACAGAGCCCAGTAACAGGGAGGTCTGGCAGCGGGGCAAGAGCACTGCAGGGGGCACCAGCAACTCAATGAGAAGCCCAGTGTTTGGGTATCAGGGGAAGAAGGGGGAGAATGGGTGGCACAGGGGGGAGTTCTAGCCTCAGTGAGTGAGAAGCCCAGTGTTTGGGTATCGGGGGAAGAAGGGGGAAAATGGGTGGCACAGTGGGGAGTTCTAGCCTCAGTGGTGGCTGTGGAGCTCTGGTCCTGGCCTTGGAGCCAGGCAGCTGTGGAGCTCTGCCCCATTTGTGAAGCTCCAGCCCCGGCCACAGAGCCAGGCAGCTGTGGAGCTCCGGCCATGGGGCTGGGGCAGCAATGGAGACAGGGTGAAGCCCTAATCCAGTAGCAGTGCGGGCCAGCAGAGAGGAACCTCCGCTAGTCCAGCAAATCCCCTCGTTTGAGATCAGTCACGTCCCAAGGGTACCAGACCTGTATAGTTACTTGCAGACAAATAACTGTGCCTACAAAATCAAAGCTGAGGTTCAGACTTGCCAGCAAATGGGTGTCTTCCTTTATATTTACCTAAAAAAGCAAATTTATTGAATCACTTAGCTCTCTGAACAGAAAGGGAAATTTTTATCATTCAACTGGAGTAGGAAGGAAATTGTTTGTATGTCAACGAACTGTGGTGAGAAAATATCTACAGTAGCACAGTTTGGTGCTGTTTTTAATATGAGGAAGAGATACAGCAACACTCCCATATTTACAGTTGTGGGCAGTAATAAGTGAACTGATTATATACTGGAAAGGACTTTGTAACCCAGATCCAGATAAGGAATTTCCTTGATTTTCTGTGGAAAGCTAAATATTTGATCTCCGTCCTTTATAATGTTTAGTGAAATTTATGGTAAGTTCAGCAAATGCAAAGGGAGTAAGTCAAGACAAATATGTGTGCTGCAGAATTGAGAGGCAGAGATTGTGCCAAAATATTAAATAATTAGATTGGGATATATGGGATGTAGGTTTGAAGTTAATTTAGCGAAAGATTCCTGTCAGGGCTAGCTAGCAACCCGGCAGATTGCTGCATCTGATTCAGATTCTGTCAGTGGTATTTGTTGGACCTGCAGAAAAGTGAGAGCAGATCTGACACACCTTTTCTGGGAATGCCCAGAGATTCAGAACACGGGAGGAGGATCATGCTGATGGTGATTTCCCAAATGATCTAGGATGTGGGAGACCAGCTACAGAACGCAATGCACCGCAAGATGTAGAAAGCAATGCATTTTCAAGTTGTGCCTTTTCAAACTGACACACCATTCTCTTAAAACAAAAAGTAATATATTGAGCAAGTGAATGTTAACATCTGGGCTAAATATATCTTGGTGGTATGAAACTTAGAATTGATTTCATGCAGTGTGACAGACAAGCGATTTTTGATGAAATTGGGCTATATTTTTGAGCTTCCTGATTATGGTAATCTCTCTCATTTATAATACAGGGTCTGTTTAATTCTAAATGGACCATATTCAGCACTTATGCTAGGATTAAGTTCTACTGATTTTCTTAGGTCTGAATTTGGCTCATGAATTTCGAATGCTTGGAGTTGGGAGCACTGTGAATTCACAGAATATATTATATGTTATTTAATATTCTGTGAATTTACAGTACAGAACTGCCAACTCCAGGCATTCAAAAACCATGAGTCAGGCCCAAAGATCATGAGTGTGGCTTGATAATACCAAGTAAAGTTATTTTTATTAAACAGAAAAAATACAACAATAAAACAAATCTTATTGCAGTATCAAAATTATGTTTTAAATACATTGATTTCTGATATAAAATAACAGCAACAATTTTTCCAGAGCCCTCAGCCTAAGAACCTTATGTCCATCCTGTACACTGAATGAGGCAGGGGTTATATGGGAAAAAAGTGTTACCACTCTTGCTGGTTGCTAGCCCCAATCTCTCTCTATGTCTATACTGTACCCGTTTTGCGCAAGAAATATGCTAATGAGGCTAAGCGTGGAATATTGCTGAGTCTCATTTGCATAATTAACGAGCGCCCACTTTTTGCGCAAGAGGATTTTGTGCAAAAAGGAGCCATCTACACAGCTCCTTTTTGCGCAAAAAACCCTCTTGGGCAAGAGCTGTTTTTCTGGAAGAAAATGTGGAAGAACGGCTCTTCCGCAAGAAGGCCTCTTGCACAAAAAGTGGGTGCTCAATAATTATGCAAATGAGGCTCTGCAATATTCCACGCTTGGCCTCATTTGCATATTTCTTGCACAAAACGGGTGCAGTATAGACATAGCCTTTGTCTTCACTAGCCACTTTATCCTGATGGTTGCATTTTGTAGACAAAATTCTAAGCCCACAAATAACTACATCAACAATGAATTCTGAGCACAGATAATCAGTCAGCTACCTACAAAGCTATAGTTGCAAATCAGATAGACATACAAATATTTGCATGTGGGATCAAAATTGTGGTACAAGTTGTACTTTAACTGCGACTCCCTGGTCTGCCAACATCCATGGTCAGATGTTCCTGGACCACAGAGCCCAGTAACAGGGAGGTCTGGCAGCAGGGCAAGAGCACTGCAGGGGGCACCAGCAACTCAGTGAGAAGCCCAGTGTTTGGGTATCGGGGGAAGAAGGGGGAAAATGGGTGGCACAGTGGGGAGTTCTAGCCTCAGTGGTGGCTGTGGAGCTCTGGTCCTGGCCTTGGAGCCAGGCAGCTGTGGAGCTCTGCCCCATTTGTGAAGCTCCAGCCCCGGCCACAGAGCCAGGCAGCTGTGGAGCTCCGGCCATGGGGCTGGGGCAGCAATGGAGACAGGGTGAAGCCCTAATCCAGTAGCAGTGCGGGCCAGCAGAGAGGAACCTCCGCTAGTCCAGCAAATCCCCTCGTTTGAGATCAGTCACGTCCCAAGGGTACCAGACCTGTATAGTTACTTGCAGACAAATAACTGTGCCTACAAAATCAAAGCTGAGGTTCAGACTTGCCAGCAAATGGGTGTCTTCCTTTATATTTACCTAAAAAAGCAAATTTATTGAATCACTTAGCTCTCTGAACAGAAAGGGAAATTTTTATCATTCAACTGGAGTAGGAAGGAAATTGTTTGTATGTCAACGAACTGTGGTGAGAAAATATCTACAGTAGCACAGTTTGGTGCTGTTTTTAATATGAGGAAGAGATACAGCAACACTCCCATATTTACAGTTGTGGGCAGTAATAAGTGAACTGATTATATACTGGAAAGGACTTTGTAACCCAGATCCAGATAAGGAATTTCCTTGATTTTCTGTGGAAAGCTAAATATTTGATCTCCGTCCTTTATAATGTTTAGTGAAATTTATGGTAAGTTCAGCAAATGCAAAGGGAGTAAGTCAAGACAAATATGTGTGCTGCAGAATTGAGAGGCAGAGATTGTGCCAAAATATTAAATAATTAGATTGGGATATATGGGATGTAGGTTTGAAGTTAATTTAGCGAAAGATTCCTGTCAGGGCTAGCTAGCAACCCGGCAGATTGCTGCATCTGATTCAGATTCTGTCAGTGGTATTTGTTGAACCTGCAGAAAAGTGAGAGCAGATCTGACACACCTTTTCTGGGAATGCCCAGAGATTCAGAACACGGGAGGAGGATCATGCTGATGGTGATTTCCCAAATGATCTAGGATGTGGGAGACCAGCTACAGAACGCAATGCACCGCAAGATGTAGAAAGCAATGCATTTTCAAGTTGTGCCTTTTCAAACTGACACACCATTCTCTTAAAACAAAAAGTAATATATTGAGCAAGTGAATGTTAACATCTGGGCTAAATATATCTTGGTGGTATGAAACTTAGAATTGATTTCATGCAGTGTGACAGACAAGCGATTTTTGATGAAATTGGGCTATATTTTTGAGCTTCCTGATTATGGTAATCTCTCTCATTTATAATACAGGGTCTGTTTAATTCTAAATGGACCATATTCAGCTCTTATGCTAGGATTAAGTTCTACTGATTTTCTTAGGTCTGAATTTGGCTCATGAATTTCGAATGCTTGGAGTTGGGAGCACTGTGAATTCACAGAATATATTATATGTTATTTAATATTCTGTGAATTTACAGTACAGAACTGCCAACTCCAGGCATTCAAAAACCATGAGTCAGGCCCAAAGATCATGAGTGTGGCTTGATAATACCAAGTAAAGTTATTTTTATTACCATTCTGGTTTTTAAGTCTTTAGAGGTCATGTTTTCCTGGTTTCTCTGCAACCAGTGGGGCTAGAAATTAATTTATTTTTAAAAAATGAAAAAAAATCTCACAATGTCACAGGGAACCCTTCCTGACTTCTTTTTCTGAGAAGTCAGATTTATTTTAAAGTGGGTCAGAATGAGATTCTGATAAATTACATTATTAATATGCAGACAAATACACAATTGGTTCATGATTCTGTTTAACTCAATATAAGCAGATTTTCAGTAGGACAGTGATTTTTCCAGATTTCTTTCAGTAACATCTGGTTCAGAATTAGCAGATTTCAGAATTCTGAGTGGTTGTGGGAGGACTGTACTGCAGGATACAATTTAGTTTTATATAGCATCTTCCATTCTCAAGGTATCTTCAGAGCAAAAAGTTAGAAGACTGGAGTTCAGTGACTGCATGGACAAACAGAAGAATTACATTGTGCCCAGCAACAGCCCAAACCCACAGGGCATTAGATCCCTGCTGAGAGAGGGAATGTTGGGTAGGGCATATTGGTGATGATTTCCCTGTTCCTTCTGGAAAGTGTCATGGAATATTTCCATATCTGTTTGCACAGCCACTACAGCCAAGTAGCTGAGGCTCTGATTTGCAGTCTCCCACCTAAAAGATGGTAAGTGAAGGCATCAGGATGGAAGTTACCTTTTGCAGGCCTGTGACTCAAGTAGTTTCAAGGCACGTGGTGGATCAAACCACCATGACATGGCAAGATGAAAAAGAAAAAGGTCTGAAAAGTACACTGGTAAGTGAAACTGCTCTATGCATCCAACCTGAGGCCTCTCCACTGCAGGATGAATTCTGCCTGACAGTAGTGGGTTAAACACAAATTCAAACAGGCAATCCTTTGGCTGCCATTAACCTTTTGGTGCTTCATGCTTGATACTGGAATTTGTCCAGTGCTGCAAAATCTGGTGTCCTTCAATGTAAGGACAGTTCTGACACATTCTAGGGCCTAAGGCTAACACTGGAAGAGCAAGTACGTTGTACCAGAGGGCGAGCCATCTGTATTACCACAGAGAACTCACTTTTAATTATGGAGATCTGTTTTGGACAGTTAGGTGCATAAATATATTATTTACTAATGTGTGGTATTGGTCTGATCACTCACACGAGATTTGGATGTCCTCTTTAGATACTCATATTTTCAGGTTAAATTAGCCTCTATGTCAGAAAGGAGGTGATTCAGTCTTAGAATAGCAACAGAGTTTTCATGGTATCACACAGGAAAAGGTTTCTCTCAGACTCTTCAGCTCTCTAAACTAATCCACTGCTCAGTTCTTGTTTGTGCAGTAGCAGTTAAATCTCAGACTTGTGTTCTGTTTTCTCCTGAACTGGACTTTCATATTTACTCCATCCAGGCCTTTTGTGTGTTTGCGCTGCCTTGGGAGATTCAGAGAGTAGCACATTGCAAAATTCCTCTTTCTAATGGCTCACTTCCTACTTTCACTGTTTGTGCAGTTTGGAAACTGAACCAGTCATCACAGATCCTTGAATGATGGTAAACCAATCCAACCAGTCAGACACAAAAAGTTACTCCCAAGATGGTTCCAAAGCTCTTTGGTATCATACCGTCCTTAGAAAAGGACCTTTTGTAAAGCACTATGCAAATCTCTGGTGCTACAGAAATACTAAACACTATGGGTGAATAAGGGAGCATACAGAAGAAACTCCAATATACAGGCAGTCCCCGGGTTATGTACAAGATAGGGACTGTAGGTTTGTTCTTAAGTTGAATCTGTATGTAAGTCGGAACTGGCGTCCAGATTCAGCTGCTGCTGAAACTGATCAGTTTCAACAGCGGCTGCAAATCTCTGGTGCTACAGAAATACTAAACACTATGGGTGAATAAGGGAGCATACAGAAGAAACTCCAATATACAGGCAGTCCCCGGGTTATGTACAAGATAGGGACTGTAGGTTTGTTCTTAAGTTGAATCTGTATGTAAGTCGGAACTGGCGTCCAGATTCAGCTGCTGCTGAAACTGATCAGTTTCAACAGCGGCTGAATCT